AATTTTTTAAAGGGCCTCAACTGTTCATTGAGAAAGTGGTGTGCTCATTTGTGTCTGATTACATGTACCTTCAACATGAAACCAGACACACAGAAACCGTAGCTCTGATTAATGTTATTTAAAGCATGTACTGTACTTCTCATAGAAACTAACAATGTTTGAGAAAAATCAGTGTGTAAGAATAAACTATATAATAAGTGGATTCCAATAGGACTAAAAAGATGCCCAGAAATTGCTGGGGATAAGAGCAACTACAGTGGTTCTGAATGTTTTAGTTAAATGATTTGAAGGAAACATGCCAAGATTCCCATTCACTCTCAGAAAGTTTGCTTGGATGTATCGTTTTTACTGACAGCGAAAGGACTCATGCTCAGCTACCTATGGATGCACACAAAGAATTAAGTTATTTGCTGTGGATTAAAGAATTTAAGAGGAGCACTGGAACATCAGAGCTGGTGATAGATGGTGAGTGCTGGTCTTCAGGGTCCTCACGGGACTGTGTAAGATTTAGACTGTATCAGGAGGAAATTTCATGGATGATGTTATCAGCCATCATCATCACCAGCTCTAACAGCAAGGTGGATGGGGAAGACATGGGCTTTGGAGTCAGACAGACTCAAGAGGAAAGTCCAGCTCCATTGTGTCCTGGCTGTCTGACCTTGGCCCTTTTTTGTGCCTGTTTCTCCAACTGTGAAATGAGCCTATTTTGCAGGCTCATCACAAGAATGAAGCAGGGCAGGACAAATACAGCATGTAGCACAGGCCTGGTCCATGGGGCATCCTGACGAAACTGCAGTTGTTGTTACTGCAGTCAGCACTACAGGCTTTGTTCAGTGTCTGAAAATTCTCTGACCTGCAGACAGATCAACGAAGGAAATTTTCTGGGGCCAAAAACAATAGAATCTGTAATTATTTATATGTGTGTGACTAGATAAAAGGGACTGATGTGGGTTGGCTGTGTCCCCACCCAAATCTCAAATTGTAGCTCCTGTAATTCCCGTGTGTTATAGGAGGTATCTAGTGGGAGGTAATTGAATCATGAGGGCAGGTCTTTCTCACTCTGTTCCCATGATAGTAAATAAGTATCATGACATCTGATGGTTTTATAAAGGGCAGTTTCGCTGCACATGCTCTCTTTCTTGCCTGCCTCCATGTAAGATGTGACTTTGTTCCTCCTTTGCCTTCTGCCATGATTATGAGGCCTCCCCAGCCACATGGAACTGTGAGTCTATTAAACCTCTTTTTCTTTATAAATTACCTAGTCTCGGATACGTTGTTTTTAGCAGTATGAGAACTAATACAGGGACTGAGTGGCCAGATTCCTGATGAAGGCAGAGCCCATACTGTTTGCCTACATTTTCAGTGCCAAGACCCTGAATGTGGACATATCATTCTTATAAGAGCTCCAGGAGATAATTCTTGAGTTGAGCAACATCCCTTTAAGAAGAGGCGCTTTCCTTGCCAAAAAAGAGCAGCTGATCATAGTCACGGTTACTATGTACAGTTTCGTGCCTGACATTTTAAAAGATCCAGAAAAGAGCTTCAAAAGTTCATCCAAAAGTGGATATAAAGTAGGTGGTGGGAAAAAGGCCACAAGAGAGCTGGAGTTGCTCACTCCCGAGAAGAGAGGTTCGACAGACTTCAAAGTGCAGAGCGTTGCCAGCTCATGCTACTCTGTTCCCTTCATCTCCATGGAATAGAAGGGCTCCTATCAATACTTTTTTTGGAGACCTGTGCAATTTCCCTTCCTGAAGACAAGAGGTCAACCAGATGACCTTTTGAAATTTCTTCTAGTTTCAAGTCTTTGCACAAATCTGAAAGGGCAAATGGAAATCCACCTCACGAACGTAGGATCCCAGTAGGTTGAGGTAGCTTGGCACAGTGGCAAGACTGAGAGCCAGGAACCAGACGGAGTGGGTTTGAGTCTGCCTCTGAGACTCACTTGCTGGGCAAATTTACAATAGTAAAAGAACTCAATCCTTTACTCAATGGTAGCACCAAAATCATCTCTGCCTCCTACAGTTCCTGAAAGGATTAACTAATCTTGACAAAGTACCTAATGTGTTGACTGGCACACAGTAGGCTGTTGATAAATTGGAGCTATTATTCTAATTGACTAAAAAATGGGTAGAATAGTTGCATTTAAATCATGAAGAGACCACTAACACTCTGGTTATACCGTATCAGGAACACTGCAAATCCAGATTGGCCAACTGCCTGCCACTGACAGCCCCTCATCCCACAGAATCCCCTCCGCAAACTAGAGCTTGTCCATGCCAAAGAATGTTTGAGGCAGCAACTTATTAATTACCTTTTGGTATGAAGCAGAGGAAACCAAATGCAAGGTCTAAGACATGTTGGTATAAATCTGGCTTCTCTCACTGTCACCACAAGAATCAAATTAATTATTTAAAAAAGGTTTCAAATACATTTCCAAGTATAGGGAATGTATTTCACATGCCTCAAAGTTTATGTCTGTGTACATCCCACTGAATTGTATTTCTCACTAAGTATAGTAAAAATGTCAGTCACAAAACAGGTTTGCAAAACAAACTGATTGTCAGAAGCTGTAATTATGATTCCTCTCCTTCACGAATGATATAAAGGTAAAACTTGAAGTCTTTAAGAAATTCAACGGCTCTCTCACAGCAGGGAAATGTATGGGTCAGAGGCCTATACTAAATAAAAGAACTCCTACTTCTCTCAGGTTTTTCCATAAAAATGTAACTTTTGGGCATTATGTCAATGTGATATTTACATATTTAGCATTTACTGAAAGATGCCGGAGTGCAAGACAGAGGCGCTCTGGTTTTTGTTCTTTAACTAGAGGTGGGGTCTGTGGTAGGACTCCTGGAGGCTGTGAGGAATTGGAAAACAGAGGAAATACAAGGTACAAACATGCACACAAAGTGAGGCCCCAAGGAGAACGTGGCCAGAAACACAGGCGTGTTTCTGAAGCCCCTGTATGTTGCTCAGAGAATCAAATGCGGCTTGGGGAGCACTTCCTGTTTCCAGCAAAGGGATAATGGGTTACAGTTGACAGAACCAAATGTCACAGACAAGGGAGCAGAACAATGCACTTTGAACTGCTGCAGTCACAGGAAAGAGCAGCTTATTTTTGTTGGGAGAGAACACACACGCAGGCGTGGCATGTTGTGTTGTAAAATGACTCTAGCTATGTCAGGGAGCTGAATGAGGCCCAGTGTGGATCGACGACGGCCATCAAGCCATTAAATAAATGCCACACAGGAATCTCACAAGATAATGAAGGAGCCCTTCTATGACCACAGCACCAGCTTTATACTGAGGGGTCATGTTAAAATTCAGTGTTTGAAATGCAAACATTTCATTGTTGTTTTTTTTTTTCTGCTATTTTTCACAGATATTGACAAATTTCATAAATGTCTAGAGGCAACAAACCATGGAACTGTTGAAATAGTTTCTAGAGTCTAAACCCAAATATTTCCATTAAGTCATCATCAGGCCCATCATTTTCACGACATCTTTTTAGAAGCAGGGATCTAAAAGTCCTTTGAAATCAATTGTATTTATCCTTACATTGCCTAAAGTCGCCATTTTTAAATCAAGCTTCCTCAAAACCATAGATATTACAAACCTGACTGCCTGGCAGTGATAAGCAGGTTCATTTATAATTGTCATTTTTACATGTAGAACAAATGGACAAAAGAAAAAAGCAAATGGTAACTAAAATAATAATAAAGAACATTATAGAAAGAAAAAATCCAGGAGAGTCAAGGAAAAGAAAAGTATCTATGATATAGGATACTAAGTTCAAAAGTCCTTGTTACCAAAAGGACATTAATATTGTGTTTTGCTTCCATATCTCTCTTTCTAAGTCCCCTTGAAAAAAAGTCATCTAAGTCACGGATTCTTTCAGTGTGTGAAATAATTCCTAGGAATAGGGCAAACTCTTTCAGTCGCTTATTTCATATTTTAGACCACTTGGATAAATGTCAATAAAAGTCTGTTCAGAGAGCTACTGGCTTGGAGAAATACAAGGACCTTCAGCAATGCTTATCTCAATACTAAGGAGTAATTCATGTGCTTGGAGTGTCTAACTAATAACATCCTGTAAGGTAATCCTTAATATCAAATGATGTTTGATATTAAGAAGAGACGACAAGGCCATGATATCTACATTCTACATTTAAAATGAAATGTGTTCCTTTATAATTAAGTGGTAAAAAAACCTCTCTGCTAATCCAGATTTTAATAACTATCACCCATTCACTGAGAGAGACTTTAAGTTATGGTGGCAAGGAGAGGTTGCTAAATATTTTAAGGCACATTGACCATGTTCCTACCCATATTAATGTCCTTCTAGGTAAGTTTTCCCATTACTAGAGTTTTTCTCCTTTTTAGAAAATAAAAAATAGCAACTTTCTCCTTTTTTAGAAAATAAAAAATAGCCAAAACAAAACAAAAAAAAATAGTGTTTCCGTTTATTTTGGAAATTTGTCTTGCGAAGGACTTCAGAGATATTTTTCTTTATTTTTAAAAATGACCTTCTAATAAAAATAATAGACTTTTTAGATAACATAAAATCCAAAGCAAATAACATTAGACTCTGCCAATATGCTCATGAAAAGAGCAAAGAGTCCTTCTGAAGTAGGGTGACCAAGTGCCAAAATAACTTAAAACATTCTAACAGAAGGCAAGTGAAGAGTTACTCAGAGAACCAGCAATCAAAGCAGCCTGCAGTTGGAGGGAGCTACAGAATCCTCATCTAGCGAACCTTCCAGCTTGACCAGCACTGATTGTTTTCAACACAGTACTTCCTGAGTGGCAGGGCACGTTGCTTTTCTTGACATCAGGAAACAATACCGTCCTTTTTTTTTTTTTCTTTTCTTAGACACAGTGCAGAACCCAACACATTTCAAGGCCATGTGATATGGTTTTTGTTGATTTGTGAACCAGCTGCTGGTTTTGAAAAGGAAATTGCACTCAAGCTCAACCATGCTGTACTAGTCTTGGTTTACCTGCCATATGCAAAGCGTCTGTCTTTGTGATGATCGCCAAAAGTATCCCAAAGCCTGAGAGAAACACTCACTTCATCAACAACATCCCGAGAACGCTCCAAGACCTGCAGGAGAGAGAGAGAGAGAGAGAGAGAGAGAGAGAGAGAGAGCATCGGTGCACAGTGTCAATCAGAAGTTCCCTGGGAGAAGCATGTTCAAGTCAACACCCTCAAAGCCCCTCAATTCACTTGCATTTAGTTTCTTTATTCTAACAGGATTTGAGCTGAGTCTTAATTCCCTTCCTGGAATCACATGTCTCAACCCTCATTCAGGATACCAGACCCATAGTCTCCAGTTTGCATTTTTCTTTTCTCTTTTTTTGGGGATGGAGTTTTGCTCATTGCCCAGGCTGGAGTGCAATGGCATGATCTCGGCTCACTGCAACCTCTGCCTCCTGGGTTCAAGCAATTCTCCTGCCTCAGCTTCCCGAGTAGCTGGAATTACAGGCATGTGCCACCATGCCTGGCTAATTTTGTATTTTTAGTAGGGACAGGGTTTCTCCGTGTAGGTTAGGCTGGTCTCGAACTCCCGACCTCAGGTGATCCGACTGCCTCACCCTCCCAAAGTGCTGGGATTATAGGCATGAGCCACCACGCCTGTCCTGCTTTTGTTTTTGCTTGTGGCATTAAAAAGGTTAGTTATGTTTTGAATGTGCAATGTACCCACGCTCCTCCTTTAGAAAAAATCAGACAGGCAACCAGCAACGATGTGCCCTAGGGATGCTAAAGACACTCTGTGCATCTTACCTCCTGGCACACGCGGTACTGGTCAATCGCCCACACAGTTGGCACGTGGGTGGCCAGCAGCTGATACTGAGTGAGTGTGGTGTTGCACGCTCTGGCACAGATCAAGCGTGTCTTCCCCACGGCGTTGTCACCCACGACCACACACTTGATGGTTTCAACGTTGGGTCTTTCGTAGTCCATGTCAGCGTCCATTTATAAAACTCTGTAAGAAGAGAGTGAACACTGCAGTAAAGACACCAAAGCTTTCCAGAACAATTGAAGGCGTGAGAGGTTCAGGCAGTTTTGCCTTCACCCAGCCACTTCCTTGGAGGTGCACAAGACAGGCAAGAATGTTTAGAAGTTCATATGAAGCCTAATTGACACTCAAGTTTTCTTTTTATATCTCACACAAGTAGAAAAACATGGGACTGTTATTTTTGACCCCAAATGGTTTATTCCCGTTAACATGTTATTTTCTCCTTGGTTTTCTCTAAACACAACCTGCCTACTGGAGCTCCATTCAGCCACTGTCGGGACAGCTGACACACATTTACAGCTCACTGACTACTCACGCTGGTCTGCTAGCAAGTCCGGTCACCTGTAGGGCTAAACTTCAACACTGGGCAATAGGCAGCCTTGGCAATACTGGCATCTCCTTCATCACAGTACCTCCCATTAGCCAATATCTGTTGTTGAAAAGCAGTTTTCTATAGGTTCAAAACTATCATGGGTACTTAGAAGAGAATCCAAAAGTGCAAGCTGAAAGACTAACTGACGTCACAGAAGAGTAAACTGTAAGTCTGAATTTAATCAAATTAACTTATATTTATTTATATTAATCAAATTCATTATATATATACACACACACACATACACATATGTATGTGTGTGTGTGTGTGTGTGTGTGTGTGTGTGTGTGTGTATTTGAGATGGAGTCTCACTCTGTCGCCCAGCCTGGAATGCAGTGGTGCAATCTCCACGTCCTGGGTTCAAGCGATTCTCCTGCCTCAGCTTCCCAAGCAGCTGGGGTTAAAGGTGCCCACCCCCATACCCAGCTAATTTTTATATTTTTAGTAGCGATGGGGTTTTGCCATGTTGGCCAGGCTGGTCTCAAACTCCTTATCTCGAGTGATCTGCCCACCTCAGCCTCCCAAAGTGCTCGGATTACAGGCATGAGCCACCACGCCCAGTCATAAAAAAGATATTCTTAAGAGGGCCCATAATAAAGCAAGATTCAAAAAAATTATCTTCTGTGTTTTCATCAAGAAATCTGAAACATATGGCAATGAACAATTTTACCAGGAGAGTTACTTTGAAATCGTCTTGAAACCATCAAAGAAGGTTTAAATAGGGTTGCTGATGAGAGGCCAAGAAAAAAAAAAAGCACCTGCCAGCTTGGGCTTGCCAGGGACAGGGCCCTCCACAAACAGGGGTACAGAGTGCTTACCAGTAGCAGCTGGACACAAGACCAGCCATGTATGATTTTAAGATTTTAATTAATTGTAATTGCCTTTTTGAGGTAGTCTACCGTTAAATGAATAAAAACAGATACTACACTTGATCTTAGACAAAAGGCCGACAAGCAATGGAAGTCCATTGTTAAACTGAGAAAGAGTGGGTAAAGGGGGTAGACAGTCATCATTAAGGAGTCAGTAATGGTTTTAATGGCTATAGTAAAGAAACCGTTCAGAGTAGCGCCTAACACATAATTGGGAGGCAAGTGTTTGTTTAATTCAACTGACGTGAGAAAAACGATAACTTGGATTATATGAGATTAAGGGCATTGACAGGGATATATAGAAAGAATATTAAGAAGAATTCTTTTCCACAGTTAGGACTACTGGAACGTGGACTGTCTCAGAAAGTGAAGGGTATGGAACTGTCGACTGTAACGCCACACAGGAGGTGTTAAAGCTGAGGCTGGGGTGCGATTTGGCAGGAATGGAGTAGAGTGATTCAAGGAACAGATGTGTACTTAGGTTAGGATTGGATCTGTAATTCCTACACTGTGGAGAGGCTTGAAAGAGTCAGATACCTGTCCACCTGGCAAATACTTATCCCGAACATCCTGGGTGGGGAGAGAGTCTTTAAAAATCTTCACTTCTGATGACCAGCCAGGTGTGGTGACTCCTAAAATTGATTTCTTGAAAATTTAGCTTTAAACTTCGATGGTTTTCTTAGTTACCCATCTAACGGTATAATGTAGCAAAAGCTGAATTTGGTGTTAGACGGGTGGATCCGAAACAAATCCCAGGGAGCACTTGACACTGTCTGGAGACACAGCTGGTTGTCACTTGGTGGGGAGCTGAGGAGGGAGCTCTACTGCTTCTAGCGGGTACAAGATCAAGATGCTGCTGCTAAGCATTTGCAATGCACAGGACAACGCCCCACAACAAAGAATTATTCAGCCCCACGTGATAGAGGGCTGAGGTTGTGAAACCCTGCCTTAGAAGAATGTGAGTTTGAATCCCAGCTCCCCCATTTTCCAGTCATTGGACTTTGGGCAAGTTGTTTGTACTTTCTGAGCCTCGGCCTCCTCATCTGTTAAGTGGGAATCATAATAACCCTCATCTCTTAAGGTGGTTGTGAGGATTACGTGAACGGATGAATTAAGTCCTCAGTGCAGTACCTGCCACACTGATGGTTTCAAAAATTGTAATTGTGATGCTGAAGATGAATGCCTTCAGATGACAACAAAATTGAGTCAGGTGAAAGGCCAGAATTAGATGCAAACTCATAAACCTAATAATGACAAAGATCTATAAAAAGGATACAGTTTGGAAGAATTAACCAAACAGTAACTCACGGAAAATTAAAGAACACAGATACAAGATGTGGTGCAACCCATCTTAAGCAAAGAAGACAGAAAAAGTTTTGGGTGTGGAAGGGTCAGGGAGGAGGTCACAGTTAATGAAAAGATCATAGAATTGGAAAGATGGGTTAAAAATGCTAGTCTGAGGCATTTCTGAATTCCAGAATAAAAATGGTAATACTTAACACTCTCTGACAAGTTTCTGGTGACATGAGCATTGGGTAGTAACCTGAATCAGAAAAACAGGTTCTAGTTGGAGTCTCACAACTTTGGAAGTGGAGGTCCACTACTTTAAATGTCCTCAGTGGCAGAAAACCTTTCTCTTTTAAGGGTGAATTTTATTTTATTTTTTGATAGATAAATGCCATATAGAGCCAATCCTTAAAATTTGAGAGAATGTTTAGACTTAGTAAAAATAGAGAATAGGACACTAAAATTATAGAACTGGTTTTCTGGTTGGCTTGCAAAGTAGCCCTTCTAGCAGCCTGCAAGAAGGAGTCCCGCAAATAAGCTGAATCATAGCGGCACTGATGAAATGGCTGTGTCACTCTCACTGAAGATGGCTTTGAGAGTAACAGAAGCCATTCTAGTTTCGTATTAAGGCTATGATTAACAAAACTATCATTACTTCACTTATTTTTAGACACTCGCATGTAGTCCTAAGAAGAATTTCTGTGTCAAAGGTGAGAATAACATCCGTGGGTCCTCTAATCCCTACCAGTTTCCTCAAGACCAAAGCGACTGCCAAAGGTGCTGACCCTTGTACAAAAGGGATAAAATGTAAGGGAAAACAAAAGGAAGTGCAGAGTTAAATATTCATGGCCCAGATCACTTGCTGCAGATACAAAATTTCCAGGAAACATTCACTGAATTCCCAAATACTAAAAATCTTTAATTTGGAGTAGTGAGATTTCTCTTGTGGTATTCTAAAAAGCATTCTAAGAATGTGAAATCACAGCCAAGGATGGAAACTCATGCTACACTTGCATTGCTGTAAATCATTTGTTCATCTGTTACACATAAACAAAGAAACATTAAATTATGATAGTAATTATAAAAATATGCATTTTATCCTTCTCCACTTGTTATAGGCTCTAATTTATTCACATCTAGCACTCTGATGGTTGAGCCTACTCTTAGGACCATCTGGATAATGACTGTCTGGTTTCTGATTTTTATTTACCTAGAATGAGAGTAATAAGTATTATTCATTTAACACTGTTAATAAATGTCACTACTATAAATACTGCTGATCGATGTGGAGACCCCTCACCTTTAGATACACACCTGAGGAGACAAGGAAGGCAGAAAAGAAAAAGAAAACCTTTAAAGAAGGGACACTGGTAATCTGCTACTATGGCAGCTCTGTCATCGTACTCAAAACTGACTTGAATATTATTTCATATTTTCACCAGTACCTAATGAATCCTCTTGCACACTATCCAGAAGTCAGAAGAGACAAGTTTATTCGAAAAACTGAGAAGTAAACAAGACCATGCAGATTGGGAAGTGAAGGACATGGTGGAGTGGTTCTGGTGCCCAGCACTCATAAGGCTGACCTAGAAAAGCGTGGTCATGCTTTCCATGGTCTACAGAATCACCCCATCTGATCTGATCATCCCATATCTGCCCTGCTATCATTGCCATCATCTCCTGGACTTCCGGCCACTCCTCCACACTCCCCGCCCACACGGCATTCTTGGGTCCACAGGATGGTGCAGCCCACATCCTAGCCTCACCATTTCTTCTCTCCTTCAGTGCCAGTGGTCTTCATCACATTCTACTTGAGCCATCCATCCTTCTGGACACATGCTGGATATTGTTGTCATCCAGAAACATCTTACCTCTGAAATCTCAAATTTCAAAATTCCACTCTCAGAACAAACACCCCTACCTTTGCAGCCTATGTTGGATGAAATAAGGCCACGGCAGCAACTAGCATCAAGAGGTGGAATCTATTTCCCTTCCTCTTGAATTTATGCTAAGCTTGTGACTGCTTGGACCAAAAGAATGTGGTGGAGTTGATGCTGTGTGAGTTCTACAGTCTAGGTCTCCAGAGGCCCTGCTGTTCCACCTTGGTGCTGTTGGAATGCAGCCACAAGACTGCCATGTAAGGAAATCGGCCTAACCCAGCAGGGGATGAGAATTCATACTGAAAACCACTGAGGCAGCCCTGCCAATGGCTGTCACCAAATGCTGGATAATGTGAAGCCATCTTGGACCTTCCAGCTCAGCCAACCCTACAGTTGAATGTAGTTTATGAATGAGCCCAGGTGAAACCAGCAGTGGAATCTCCAGGAAAACTTCAGAATCATGAGAAATAATAAACCATTACTGTTTTAAGCCACCAAGTTTTGGGTTTATGAAGCAATAGTCAACAGACACATACCCATTATACCTTACGGAAATCT